AACTCTTCAGCAAACAGACTTCTTCTTACTCTCTATTTGTGCAATATTTGAGCCTAAGTGGTGATGTAAACCAAATCAACATAGTTGAAGGCTCTGTTGCAATGTGTGAAAGGTTTGTTAGCAACTTTGGGGAGTTTAATGAAAGGGTGGGGAGGGAGCTGGGATTATGATTCCACCACAGTCAGGAAATTTTGCTGTTGGATTTGAAGGGATGGGGGACCTTTCTGTCAAGGTTGCATCCATGTGAGAAAAGAAACKGGGAAGGAAAAAATTTAAAACCTTCTAATTTGACAAGATGTGGTGAAATTTTTGAAAAGAGCGAGAATGTTGGCAGCTGCCTCACCAGTTGCATTTCCCTGAACTGGCAGGTCCCATGGAAGAGGTCAGAGGTGTGATCTGCTGCCTAGGCTCCCATGTAGCCTGGAGGAGTAAAAAAAAAGGTGAATTCTGCCCCCCCTGGAATTGATATCAGCTTTGCTGGTTTGCAAACTCCTTGCAGCAAGAGCCACATATTCCCGTTCGCAGTGAAAGACCCCACAAATCCCTGTGTGAAATGGCATGAGTGCACTCACACGTGCAAGAGAAAAAGTAAATAAAGAAGGCTGGAACCAGGCCATATTTTCAGCCTGCTTCTGCACTGCTTTACTGCCTTGGGATTTACAAAGCCACATTGCACTTAAAAGCAGATTTAATCTTTTCCRTTTGTTGCGATGCTGTGGCTGAGGCACGGCCCTGGAGTTTGGGAGACCAGGTGGAATTCCAGAAAGAGATGCAGTGCCCAAGCAGGGCAGTGCAGAGCTCCACAGGGCTCCATCCTTCCTGTGCCATGTGCAGCATTGCATCCCAGGACAGCTCAGACTGCAGCTGCAGGTACATGCTGAGCTTTATATGCTCTGTGAGATTTGGGAATTTCTGGGGACAGAGACATGCCTGTAACACACTGATATCTGGTGCCATGTAAAATGGAGCATCAGTCTGGAGTGCTCTGGGCATTCCTGACGCACAAACAAACATGCACAGAATTCCTCAGGTAAACTGGGTTTTGCAGAGACTTTCTGTCATTTGGACATCGTGCCTGTCTTCATTTTCCACCCCACTGAGCTGCTCACACTCAGATTTTTGGGAACCCCTGCCACAGGGGTGTTTACAGGTGTGCCCTGTGRTTATATTCCTCATTCCTCCTGCCCTGCACAGTTTGCTGTCACCCTGCATTGCACTCCTTGTCACAAAACAAGCTGCCATCCATCCTCCCTTCAGTGCACCAGGATTATTCAGCTTCAGCCCTCCACATGCAGCCTTTCCCAGCCCTGGGCAGAGTGACCCAAAGGCCACCACCATCCTCCAAGACACATTTCATATGGATGAACCTGTCCTGCCACATCCCTGGAGTGTGTCCCACTGCACTGGGCTGGGTCTTCCTGCATCCCAAACTCTCCTTGAGAAGCCACAGGTGATTTGCTGATGTGCATCAAACTCATCTCCATTCTTGTGCTCAGAATTATTGATTAATCTAACGACTCTACCCCTGCTGGTTTGCCATTTCATATCTATSTAACAGAGAAAGGCACATTGATTTTGCTGTTATCAAAATCCCCTTGCATTTGCAGTCTATTCTCTTCCTGCAATTTTCTAATTCCTTCTGGAAAACACGTTACACATTGTCAAGATCAAATTCCTGAGACATCTTGTTTAAATCAAGGGATTCTTAGCACCTTCTGTTTCTTTTGAATATCCATCTGTGCAGAAACAACAAATCTCAGAGYTGCTGGGGCAGGGGGAGGCACTGGCAAGGACCTCATTCTGGGCTCACACTTGCTGGTGCCATCCTTTGGTGGCTTCTGCTGATGAGGACAATTAGGAAAGGCTTGACAAGGAATGTCATATCATCTTCAAACACACCAGAACTCTGGGCTTACAACAAGATTAATGTTTYCCACCCCCCCTACCAAGAATAATAATTTTCTTACCTTAACAGGTTCTCCACAGAAGTATGTGTTATTCCTTTTTATCTTCTCAAACACCCTAATAATCTTCAACCAATTAAATGTCCCTTCAGTTACTACTTCTGTAAAACCATGGTTTGGTTAGAGTGAGCCCTGTTTCTTCTGGAAGGACCCATTTAGRTCTCAGTCCCCCTTGCCACACAACCAGAATAATTTACTTTTGCGTCACCTCCTCCCTCAAAGACTTGTAACATTATTTTTTTTTTCAGGTGGCAGAATTTCCCAGGGGTGAATTGTGGGCAGGAGGATGCAGATGAAGCTGAGTTTGAGCTGGGCTTTGTGGTGCTCAGCCTTCCCTGCAGTCCCCCAGGCTCCCAGATGTGTGCTGGCTCAGCCAGCTGTGCACCCCCAAACACTTTGCTTCACCTTTCCTAATGAACATGCCTAATTAAGGCAGCAACTCATTATAGATGGTGGTGCCCTTTCCTGCAAGGGCTTTGTGCTAACCCAAAATCTGGTAATGAACGTGGAAACTCCTCCAGTGTGGTGGGATATCAACATTATTCTATAGTGTATCTATAATATCAATATTCATATAATATTAAAAATTAATGCACACGTTTCTTTTAATAATTAATGAAATTACTGCAATATTAATAAAGTTAAAACACACGTTGGCACAGATCTCCTAAGTGGAGTGAATAAAGGGAAGTGTTTAAACCAGCCTCTCTCCTCACAAGYTGTGTGTACTGGGGAATGAGGCTTTTTCCGTGCACCAAGGAGGTTCCAGGGCTGCACAAATTCTGTTCTATTTTCTCATCTGATTTCTCCTGCAAAAGCCTTCCCTTCCTCCAAGGCAGGTGAAGAAGCTGTCCTTGGCCTGAGATAATTTCCAGGGTGATTCTGGGGCGAATCGAGCAGCACAGGGAACTGCAGAAAACTTTTTGTGGCAGGGTTGGCTTGAGGCTGGCCACCTTTTCTGTGGGTCATCCTGATCCTGAGTCATTTTCTGTGCTCCTCGAGACAAAAGCTGGCTCCAGGGAATAGCAGAGGGGAATGCATGGCCATTCACATTTGGAAATACTTCTTGTGGTCACTGGTTTGCCTATTATCACTGTGAAGCAAAAGTAAAGGGTGCCCTCCTGGCCCCTTCCACTGCAGAAAGAAATTAAAGGGACTTTGCAGGTGTACTTGGGAGAGGAAATCTCCCCTAGGATGAGRGAAAAGATAATTGATTAGGGCAGAGTTTAGGAAATAATGGGGATGCAAAAGCTTAATCTTCCTTCCAGAACGATTCTCTCAAATCAACTAACCTCCATTGCGAGTGTCARTTAATGGAAATTAAATTACTAAAAGGGGAATCGTAATAATTATTGCCAAGTGAATAGAGTGGGGATGTAGGACAGAGAATTTTTGCCTTTGTCTSCTACATCAGCAGGGAAGGTGTGGAGAAGCCCCTCAAGGACAAGTACAGGATAATTCTCTCAAAGCTGCACCATCCAAATACCCTGTCCAGGAGTGTCTGCAGGACATGAGAACCTCCAGCTGCTGGAGGTGGTGTGAACTTTGAACTCTTGTAATTGGGGCTGTTCTCATTACCCAGATAAATGCTTAATCCCGCAAGTTAATTGGCACAAATTACAACTGTGAAGTTGCTCTGCTCTTGCCTGATAAACTCTCCCAGGATTTCRGTTTGGCAGGTCTGAGGCAGTCCTTAGATATAATTGTCCACTCATTTGCAATGATGCAAACCAGGGTTGCTGCCTTCAGTGGAGTCACTGGTGAATTATGCCAGCAGGAGATGAGGAGCAGGGCTGCTGTTTCCTGCTATGGTTCATTTCTTGTGCTCTGATTTAAAAAAAAATGGAGCAAGAGATGAGGCATGGGCACGTTTGGACTGCTCCTATTTTTTCTTCTTGATTCTGTGTAAATTGAAGTTCATGGTATTGAGCTTATTTTATAGTGACAGACATGGACAGAAAACCAATCCCCAAACTCCCAGGGTGTTCCTTCTCTGCAAAACCAAATTTTGTGGGTGCACACAGTGTTGGGAGAGCCCCCCTATTTAGTGACAGTGTCAGGATCAGGTTTGGGGTTTGGTTTTGAAATCCAGGTTGTGGGAATTTCTGCAGTGCTTACATGTCCCTGCACTGGCATGGGAATGCCTTGGTCTTTCAGCAGCCCTCTGGATTAGTGCTGAGTCCCTCTGAGACTTCAGATCTGACACAGGCACTTCTTACCAGATGTAAAATCACCCTTTTAGTGTCACCCCACTCCTTTTTCTTTCCGTCACCACTTGCACAGCTTCACCACTGCAAAGGGGGAGACAAAATACAGAAGCACTGGGATGGGTACCCTGGGGCTGGGCTGCCCTGGGCAGGAGGATGAAATCTCTCTCACTCAAGACTTTTCTTTTCCTACCATGTGCAGGATCCATGAGGATCTGGCAATAGCTCATCCTCTGTTTTCTGTGTCCTCAGGGAGGTTGTGGARCCCAGCAGAAGGCACCTGGTAAACTCACAGGGATGTTTCTCCTCTAACTAACACAGGTCTGGCCTTGATACAGCACACTCCCTTCTCCAACCTCCCCCATCTCCACCAGCAGCAAAGCACTGATTGTTGAAAGATGAATGACTTCACTTTTCCAGTTCCAGCATATGTTTGCATGTCTGAGAGCAAGAAACGTGTGAATCTCACACAAACTATTGGAATTCCAGCTCTGGGGACTGACAAGTAAATATGAAGTCACACAGTATTTCATAGAAAACCCACAAATCTTCTGTTTGCTGGGCTAAAGTTGATCCTTTGAGGCACRTGCCAAGAAAAACCTCTCATATTATTTACACCAAGATTCCTCCAGATTCTGAGACTGCAGYTTGATTGAGGGGTTTGTGCCTTGTAAACTCCAAGTTTCCCAAGCAGCAGCCAAAGGCACATAATAATCTTTTGCTAAGCTATCCATAAGGAGCTCTGCTAGCTTGGGGGAATAGAGTGTGGGATAACAGATTACACTGAATAAAAATGAGAAACCACAATGACAAAATAATGTTATAATATTAAAATAAATCAAATCGTACATTGCCATTATTCTGATACAGAATTTTTACACAGCAAATTTGATACATATACAAGAAGTCAGGCAGCCCATTACAATACACTTCAGGGTTCCTTTTTTCTTTAATATAAACTACATATTAATACATAGTTTGAGATGATCAGGTAGTTTTACACCAATTCAAGTAACAACAACTTCTCAGAATACTAAAATAACAAAATGCTCTGAATGTTGAAATGCTTTAGTTCCACCTGCCACTTTTAAAAAGTGTAAAACCTACATCTATTGGTTAAACCTTTACCCTAGAGGTGTGCCTAACTTACAAAGAAAATTATATTAATAAAGATATGAAATGCAACGTAAATACAGTTCTTTTGGCAATTCTCATATGTTTCACACAGTTATTCAACTCTCAGTTCAACTCAGGCATTCCAAAGTGCAAAGATGTGGCCAATTTTTTCCAAAACTGGCAATACACTTGGATTTTTTTCATTCTGGGGTTAAACTGGAACCATGGAGCCCACAAAATGATTTAGTAATGGTCAAGGCCCTGCCCTCAGACAGAGTTTTGCTCTAGCAGATGCCATTTTGCCACCCCAAAATGAAAGCATCCTCCTCTGTGAGTCTCTCCTGAAAACCTTGGCCACAAGAGCACAGCGTCTCATCTCCATCTGATGTTGGTGAGGCAGGAAGGTGTGTGAAGGGCTTCTCCTGGCAAGTACCTTATTTTGTCACAACAACGAGAAAAAGAAAATAACGAGCGGCTCCTTCTAGYGCAGAACAGTTCCTGCTAAAAGAAGATGTCTTCTTTTCTGAAGTCTGGTAAACATTTGAATTTGCTGGGAGAAGTCCGTAGGCAGGCCAGGCCCGGGAGGCACGGGCAGGTGTGGTGCATCCGCCGCCCGGGGAAAGGGACCTGGGACAAAGAGCACAGGCATCAGTGACAGGGAGGAGGGATGGGAGGAATAGTGGGGATATGGGGAATGCTGCCCAATTCCCTCCCTCCACAGCCAGAGATCCCCACGACAGTATAGACATCAAAGCCAACCCCGCTGCACACCTCGGTCAATTCAGGGTTAAGGGCAGGATGTTAGCTGTCCTGTTGCTGTGTAAATCGACATCTGTGACACATGGTCTCCATTTGCTCCCGTTTCATAAAGGATTTTGTTGTGAAACTGCACTGGCCTTTAAGATGACGCTTTGTGGTGCCACTGTGCAGGGCTTTCTGCCTGTCCCCATTCCTGCCKTGTCACACGGCACAGAGCCTTGGGATGCCGTGGTAATCAGGCTGGAAGATCTCTGGAGATCACCTTGCCTGACCTCCCTTTGGGCAGGATCCTTCTCACCACAGGGCAGAGGTTTCTCGTTCCACCCACCCTCCTCCAGCCCCGCTGTGCTGCAGGGAGCACATACGGAGTGCATTAGACAAATGTAATTGTGCCACAACGTGCACATGCACTGACACTCTTCAACAACTTGATCACGAGCTCTGTCTCTCACAGGAGCCAAGCAGGACAGCCCAGTGGGAAATGTCTGGGAGCTGTGGTGCTGCTGGCCAGCAGTGCACACTGAGAATTTCCTGGATGTGGCAAAAGAGGCACAGAGGTACCAAACCAGCCGGGCAGGCAGCCCTAATTCCCTCATTTCCAGATTTCTGTGTGGTTGGAGTCTAAAACTTTAATATTCCGATATTCTCTTTTGTCAGTGCGTGAATTTTGTCTTTAACAAAGTCCCACACRGTTCTGTGTGCACCGTGCCAAGGACCAGCCTGGCTCAGTGATGCTCCCCTGGGTGCAGGGGTGGGCAGAGGGCTCACATCACCTGCAGTGCCCTGGGCCAGCAGCAGCCTCTGCCCAGCACTGTCTGAAGGGCAGTCCCGGTTCAAGGGATGCTGTGAGCTTCCCCTGCCACCCACCACAGCCCTTCTGCTCTGGGGTGAGGGGTCAGACACCAAACACAGGTGCTGGGGACTCCCCAAGGCAATCACACCTCTGAGTGCCCACACACAGCACTGCAGCAAAACCAGAGCTCTCAGCCTCCCCACAGCTCAGGTGATTTATTCAAATCATTCTGCTTGCTGCAAGGAAATGTCCCTTGCAGAGGGACTCCCATGCTGCCAAACCTCCTCTGCCCAGCCCTGCCTCAGACCCTGCCTCGAATTCCAGCTGGGACTGCTAACAGCATCAGTCCATCACTGCCTCGTTTTTGAGAAGGAAGCTAGAAGGTGGAACCCCAACTGCCTGTAATTTTCTCCAGGATATCTCCTGGCTCTTCTGGAGGTCCCCAAGGTGCCATGGCCATGGTGATGCCTGCTTTTGACCTGTCCTGCAGGCAAATGAAAGTTTTGGGGGACACCCAGCTGCTCCCTGCTCAAGTATTTACAAAAGAGAAACCATTGAGCAAACACTCCATGCTTAAAATAACCTCATTTCACATTCTACAGTAAATCAATTTGCTTTGTGTTTCTCAGGAAGAGTGGGGTGAGGAATCAAAAATCTGAAATTAACCTCATAAAGATTATAACCATCAGTGACTAAGTCTGGAGTGGACAAGCATCTTCTCTGATGGTAATAATGCAGACAATCAGCTTGAAATATATCAGACAGTATAAATTATTGCCCAATAACAATAAGCTCATAAAACCCCCTAGAAGACAATTTCTYTTATCCTAATTCCTGGTAATGGAAAGAGCCCTTACGAGAAAAACCTGCTTCATTATGTAGTAAAAATTTGGTCCCAAATACCACAGCAGAAGTTTTAWAAATTTAACTGTAATAGAACAAAGCCTTAAACATCCTAAAATTGAGAAAATAAACCATAGATACTGATATGAGCAGCCAGGCCTTGGATGAAACAGTTATAATCTGATAACTGCCCAGTTATCATCTGAATTTATTGCCTTGGTATTTTTCATTTGTGATGACCCTTGGGCCATGCTCTTCCCTGAGGATGGCTCTGAAGACCACCAGGTTCTTAAGCACCGTGGTAACATCCCATTCAGTCTTTTGCAATACTTTTAAATATGCAGCTTTTTTTTCCTGCTGCATATAAAATACATAATTACACCGCCTTAAATAAATGGCCTTGTTAAAATCATTATATTAATAATACCATGCATCATCTAATAATGTACTAATATGTAACTGAGGTTTTACATATGTGTCTATATATGCATTTATATTTGAAATTAATAGGTAGAGTAAATCAGAGAGGGTTTTTTTTTTAAGTCCCAGTGTGTGTTAATTGCTTGTTAATGCACCAGGTGTCCCAACACCTTTTGGTGACATTTTTATATTTGTGATAGGCTCTTGTCCCCTGCCACAGGGGTTGGTGGCATTTGCTGTGCTCCTGCTCACACGAGCCAGGATTGGCAGGGCTGGGCTCGGGAGCTGCTGGCGCTGYTTCGGATCACGTAACAGAACAAAGCAGCAACAACAAACTAATAAGAAAACAATCTGGGGAGCGTGTAGTGCTTTCATCCTCTGATTCTCTTCWGCATAATTCTGACAGTAATGCATTCCTTACGTCGGTACCTTCATCTCTGCTCCCATACAGATGCAGATGGCTGGTGTTTTACAGAACGGGACGTTTCCCCCCTTTTCACCACGTTATGGTTTCTATGAATGTGATGTACAGCTCAGGACATTCCTGTTTCAGCCCCTCTGTTGCCATACTCACTCTGTGGCTCAGGGGATGGCATTCATCTCCCAGGTTTCCCATCGGGGTGCACATCCTCAGGCTGCGGATCCAGAGGCTGATGGCGCAGCACATCCCTGCTCCGCACTGCTGGTCCCGGTCACAGGCCTGGGGTTCAACACAGCATTGAGCAAATTAAATGAATAAGAAATGTAGYCCAGAAATAGGACAGATCAGGTGCTCAAGAGCTGCCTCTGGCACCCCRTAAGTTATCATGGCTCATTAAGGCTGAATAATAAGATTTAAGGTTGATTTGCAATACTTGTGTCTCTCATAGATTGGAATGTGTGGGCCCCTGGCACGTTTTGGGGTTGAGCTCAGGTTGTTTAAAACCAGGACCACACATGGAGCTGCTCAGGGCCAAACCTGGGGCTGTCAGTGACTTACAGTGCTCCCAAAATCTGAGAACTGATCGACTGTGGCACGTGCCACTCATTTTACCAGCTCCCAGATTCGTGCCTGAGTAAGCTCAGGCAGGAGAAGGACCAACCACACTGAACTTATCACCAAAAGAGTCACGGAAAGAGTCACCAAAACCGTCCCGTGGAGAAGCTAAGACAGAAAATCACCCATTAATTTAATGACTTTTAAGTAACTATTCCTTCTAATTCCAGATGATAATACCATGGCTGTGAGTGCCTCTGCAAGGCTGCATGATAGTTTGGTTAGAGAAGTCMGAGTGGAAGCAGCTAAAACAGAAGTTTAAATATGGATTCTGTGGTTGTTGTCTAGAATTACACGCAGCTAAAAGAGATCTTAAGAAAAGCTTTGCGTAAGTGTCCACATCCAAAAAAATGCTGCTGTGGTAGCATTCCCTTCACGGGAGGCAAAAAATATTTCAGCCACTTACCCAATACAGCTTAGACAAGCAAAAACCAAAAYGCAAACGAGTGGGTATGTTTTCAAACCCACAAACCATGAAGAGCAATTGACACATTAGGGTTTGAAAACAAGCCACAGTACATCTTTCAGTTACTTTTTAATCAAAAGCATGTAYGGATTTAATGTAAAAACCTTTCTCTAGTGAGAAATGCCATTAGTTAAAGGTCCTGCTTACACCCCGAATGTAAGCTAATTAACTCACTGCTCCTGGTGTCTGACAGCAGCAATTAGAAACCAAAAGCACTGGTCGGCACTACGTAAATGGGAAACTCATAATAATGTACGTAAATGATGATAACAGCTCRGGGGAAGACGCATATCAGAGTAAACATTCTCTTCACGGAAAAACTCACTGATCTTACCTTGGGATTGACATGATAAATGGCTTTAGATTGTACTCACTGGGCAAATATTGCATTGACCAGCAGAAGCCAGATCAAAATAGATGTTTAAAGATCAGTCAGGAGTTTAGGAAGAAGCTGTTGCATTAGGATCRAGCTGTTAAATAGTATGTGTGACCCAAACAGCTCCAAAACACGCAGCTCTGTGCTACAGGTAAACTCCCACACACAGTATTTGYTTGTAAGACTAATCTGGCCATAAAACTACCACTCCAGCCTGCCAGGTAGATAATGTTCACTTTCTGACCTCTCTCTTTAAGAGTAAATACATAAATAAGAACTCTAATGATCTTGTTTTGCCCTCATCACAAATAAAAATGCGGGTCCAGTGATTTTGGCTGCCCCTGGCACTCCAGTGTTCACTGCTCAGCTGGAGTCACAGACTCTGCTATTTCTCACCAGCTCATGACTCCCTTTTTTCTCCGTTATATATCTCAAACCCCATCCATCTCTGTGGGACTGGTCCTGGGGTGAAACATCACTCAGCTGAAAAAGCACCCCTGAGTATGTTCTACCAAGCAAGGGTCTCCATGTCGATGCTGAACAATTTCCTTCTAAAACTCACACTCACTTATTTACATCTGGCAGAACTTTTGAGGTTCCCTTGCCAAAAATGTATGACAAGTTTTGAAAATATTCAACCCAAGCATTCCTGCCCACACCTTATCTGTAATGTGTAATTCATGCTGCTGCTCCTAATCTTCCCCGAACACCACACGAGCACCTCATTTAAACACAGTTTTCTGGAAAATCAGCCTGAGAATATGTCCCAAGTGAAATGCCAGCTGCAAAGGCAACTGGTGTCAATACAGAAACCGCCACTGAAGTGAGGAAAGTTTGAAAAAAGTCCTTAAATATCAAAGGAAAAGCACCTTGCAGGCTCAGAGGATGGRGAAACACCTATGTCAGCTCTCATCAGAGATTTGCCCACCCATCAGAAGCCAAAAATGCATCAAAATGACTTAAGCAGAAACACTCTGCGATAGTTACTAAAGTAACATTTTCTTATTCTAATTTATTTTTACTTTTTGAATCGGCTTTGTTCTTGATCTATTATTTAGTGCCTCACGATTACTTTATTTAGTGGATTAATTATGCTTTAAAGGTGTAGCCACAACTCTGATAACAGATAAACTGCTCCTCCATTGCTGGGAATATTTCCACTTAAAATAAATTTCAAATTCTCAAATATTAAAAAAATTCCTTCACATTCTCTGCTCTAAAAAGATAACCAGTCATGGGAACTGATCTGACTTTCAGAGAAACACCCATGAGCTGTTTCATGGAGTGCCATGAGTGCAACTTCTGATGGTTACAAAAGACATGTAAGCTCTCAAAGGAATGCAAGTGCTGGGTTATTAAACCAAAGAAAACACTTAARAATCATTTTACTTTAGAGTGATGCAACCGTTTGGGTTAAATAACATCTTTGGGGGAAAAAAAAGTATTTTCGCAGCCAAAGTAAATCTAGAGCCTGAAAACAACAACAATAACAGAGACTTGTGTCTGTTATAGCAAGGGGTGGCTATAGAGGAGGAAAAGCAGCACAATCATACTSAAAGGGGAAAAAGAGGCAAAACAGCATTTTCCAAGGGTTGCAATGCTGCCCTGTACACGGAAGGGCTGGAGGAACTTGGGGTGCACAGTGRGCAGTGCAATGCCCTGAGCCAGACCCTCCCAGAGCAGGTTTGGGGACAGCTGGGTCTGCATGGGAGGCGATGGGAGACAGTTCCAGCCCTGGAAAAGCAGCGGGAATCCCTGCACGCTCCTGGACCAGCCTGGAGAAAACCCTGCCCTGAGAGTCCAGACAGGAGCAGACCCACGTTGTGGCATCTCCTCACCTCAAATCCTGGCACTGCCCACCGCAGAGTCTGACACATCCTGGCATCACTCACCGCAGACAGAGCCCCAAACTCTGGTACCACTTAATCCAGAGAGCCCCGCGGCTCCGGGCATCCCTCGCTCCAGGAGAGATGTCACATCCCGGTATCACTTATCCCAGCCGGACCCCCAAGCCCTGGCATCTCTCATCACCTGGCACAGCTTTCCCTCCCCCGTCTCGTTATCACTTTTCCCTCCCGCGTCTCTTTATCACTTATCCCAGCTTCGGCCATCCCTCACCGCGCTCGAGAACCGCTCCGTCCTGGCACCGGGGATTGCGGAGAGCCCCGGAGTCTGGGCAGTCTGGACAGCCCCGGGCATCCCTTGGGGCAGAGCGCTCCCCTCTCTGCTGGCATCCCTTATCCCGGGAGATTGTCCCCGGTCCCGCGAACAAACCCCGAGCCCGGTCCCCGCTGCCCCGAGCCCTCCCGTCCCCGCATTCCCGTCCCCGCATTCCCGTTCCCGCATTCCCGTCCCCGCTGCCCTCCCGGTGCCGGTGCCCTCCCGTCGGTGCCGTCGGTGCCGAGCGGCGGCGCTCACCCCGGTGATGACGGCTCCGTGCCCCGCGGCCAGGAACAGCACCAGCAGCACCAGCAGCAGCAGCAGCAGCGGTGGCAGCGCCGGCGGAGCTCCGCGCAGGCTCCGCATGGTGCGGTGGCGCGGCCCCGGCGCTCCCCGCGGGCGCGGTGCGGCGCAGCGGAGCCGGGCACGGCGGCCGCCCCGGCGTTATAAAGACGGGCAGTGAGTCACCCCCGCCCGGCAGCGCCGCGGCCGCGGGAGCTGCGCGCAAACACCGCGCCCAGGTGCGCGRCCGCGGGGAACGGGGCGGGGGGGCGCGCAGGGATGGGAACACCCCGCATCAGCGATGGGGGAGCTGCGCTTAGGGGGAAACATCCCACGGCAGGATGGGGACATCCCAGGACTGAAAGGAAACATCTCACAGCAGGCTGGGGACACCCCAGGATTGAAGGAAAACATCCCACGGCAGGCTGGGGACATCGCACGGCAGGCTGGGGACATCCCAGGATTGAAGGGAAACATCCCACAGCAGGCTGGGGACATCGCACGGCAGGATGGGGACATCCCAGGATTGAAGGGAAACATCCCACAGCAGGCTGGGGACATCGCACGGCAGGCTGGGGACATCCCAGGACTGAAGGGAAACATCCCACAGCAGGCTGGAGACATCCCAGGTCTGGGGGCAAACATTGCACGGCAGTTCTGGGGTAATGTTTCAGGGCTTGGGGGGAACACCCGACAGTGTGACTGAAGGATATCTATCCCACAGCAGGTCTGGTGGGGTCACCCCAGGGCTGGCTGGGGTACAACCTRTAGCAGGTACGAGGATGTTCCACAGCAGGTCTGGAGTGGATACCCACAGCAGGTCTAGGGGTTCATCCCAAGGCTGGCTGCAGACATCCCACAGCAGATCAGGGAGCAGGGAGGCACCCAACAGCGGGGTAACAAGGAAACATCCCACAAAATGTAGGGGACATCCTGCAGCAGGTCAAGGACAGAGCACAGCAGGTCCTGAGGAGATCCTGCAGCAGGATGGGGGGATCCCACTGCAGGTCGGAGCACATCTGCTGACTCCTGGCAGAGCTGTGGGCATGGCCATGGGGGGACAGGCAGGCTGCACCTCATCTTGTCTGGGAGAGAGCAGTATCAAATATACCCCACAGTCCCAGTAAGAATTGGAGCAATCCCAGCTCYTGCTGGAAGCCCAGAGCCTCTTTGAACTCCTGTTCTCCTGCAGGTTTCCCCCTCTTGCCACAGGCAGCCTCTGGCTGAGCTCTCCCAGCTCTCACAGCATCCGGGGATATGAGGAGAACTGCTCTGTTCTTCAGCAGGGCTGGCTCCCCCCAAAAAATCTGGGGGAAGATGGGGAGGAGAAGGAACTGGGAGTAGGGACCCCCATTCCAGGGACAGTGCACCACTGGCTCTTTCCAGGACWAATGCCAGTCCTGGGTCTGCTGGTCTCAGAGAGCTCCTGTTTCTGCAGGCACACCTCTGAAATTCAGCACAAACCAAGGTCTGACCACTAAGGATGGTACCTTCAGGCACCTTTGTCTCCTGTGGAAGGAGAACATCCCAGCCCAGTGCAATCACTAAAACACATGCAGTGTTTCCTTTTCTGCTTCTCTCACTTTTCCTTACTTTTCCAGCTCTTTATACTTCTTTTTACCTTTCTTCTCCCTCCTAACTCCCTTTCTGTCCCTTTTCCTGCCCCTCCATTCCCACTTCCATCTCTCTGCACACTTTGTGCTGCACCCCTCCTCCAGCGCGTTCCATTCCCACACATAGGTCCCTGTTTTCCCAGATTTTTCAGTTTATACTTTTCTCCCAGCCAGCAAGGCTGAGCCTTGGCAGGGCCCACATTTCCCCAAGCCCTCAGACAGTCTCATTCCCTGGCTGAGGCAGGCTGGGCTCAGCTGAAGGASTGCAGTAACATCGAGCATCTCACCCACTCCTGCTCGGTTCAGTCCCGGTCAGGAGCTGTCGAATCGATTCCTGAGTGGCCTCCCCTCGGGGGTTCTGTCTGTCTGGAGGTGTTTTCATTACAAACGTGGCCCTTTTTGGGGGTGCTTACGGTTATTTCGGTTATTTCGCTTATTTCGTACAAACGCACGCAAGACAAATATGGGCTGAGTAAACAGAGCCTTTACTCCGAGGATGCTTTAAAAGCAAATTGGGATAAGCCAATTTTGACGTGGAAGGATTAAAAATAACTGGGATGTATCCTCAGTYGTTGTAAACTCATGTTGCTGCCTGAAGCATTGGCAGTTTAAACCAGGTAAAGGGATTAGTTTGTTTTAAATTTTATTTGTATCCTAGAAACTAWAAATGAATGTAAACCAGGAATGATTATTTTCACAATCTCCAGGTGCCCAGAACTTCCAAAAATAAATCATCACTTTCAGCTCTAAACCTCCTGATCCTCTAGAAACACTGTAGAATTGGGGAGAAATAATAAGGGGGAAGGGAAGAATTTTGTGCAGGTTTATGTAGACTTGGTCATTTCTTGTAACAGCTATTTGACATAAAAAATATCATTTATGAAAGGTTGTCAGTCCTGAGCCTGGAAGGGCAGCATCATACATTATAATGGGGTTACTACAGACTTACTAGAAGCCACTCTAATGTCAATATTCTTACCACCAACTTGTGCTAAAATTTGTTTGCTATCAGATGAGACCTTGCACGCCTATATGACCTTTTGGTGATTAGAAATTGTAATGAAATATTAATTAATTCTGATTTAATCATTCCTATTCTTAAAGAAAAGATGAAAGTCGGGGAGATGGCTTTCTGAACTTCAGGATTTCTGCTTCAGATCAATAATCAATGTTCAGTGGAGGTTTGACAGACAAACAGCACAGGACTGTTCTTAATCATTTGTCCTTTCTCTTGGGGATTGTACACGAGGCAGAAGAAACCATTTCTGCTGACAGTAATTTGGGTCCCCAGCATTTACTCAATGATCATTTACGCTTTTTTGAGTTGCAAACATTTTTGTAAATGACTTGTAAGCTTCCTGCCTCTCTCTCTGATGTGGCTGGAGTTGGCCAGTGCCTTCTCAAGTTACCAGCAGCAGTCTGGCTGAGAGATGGAGTTTCATACCTGCAGCTCTCCCTGAGACTGTAAAAGCCAGCTGGGACTGAGGTGTGAGCAGCTTAGCAAGTCCRGGCAGCCCTGGTGGGATCCTGGATCACAAGGACAGCAGTTTGTGTAATGTGGAGAAAATGAGAGGCAATTCAGGCTGTGAGACACAACTCTCACACGTGGAATTGCCTTTGGAGACGTCCATGGGGCTGCTGCTTGCAGGAACTTGYAGGGTGTTCTGAGAGGTCAGCACCTCAAACACGTCAATAAACTAACAGCACCTCTGACGTCAAATAAACTAACTYCTAAAAAGTCTAAACACAAATGCTGATTTTGGAATTAGAAGAGGCGYTGTTGTCTGAATCCCTACCAAATCAAGCCACAAATTTCATTAGTGAATCCTAAATGAAAAGAGATAAGTTGTGTTTTAAATGTATCTCAAGAGATATTAAGCCCTGACTTATAACAATGAAGACAACTTCCCTCAGCAAATTACTCCAACTCCTAAAACCTCATTTCCTGTTTGAATTTCACTGATCTGGACCAGCAGATGATATTAAGCCCTCTAATATCAGGTATTTTCACCTTCCATGTGTAATAAGCTGGGAAAAAAATTCCACAATAGCTGTTTCACTACACAGCAACATTTTTGTCACTACCAATGGTCCTGGTAGCTCATCTCCAAACCCTTTCCAATAGATCAACAAAGTTTGTAAAGTTTCTGGCATGATTTCAGGAGGAATACTGTCACCCCCTGGGAGCCACCACACTGTTCTAATCTCAATTACTTTTTCTTGCAGACCGAGTCAAGAATCAGCATATAAAGAGAAGCAGCCTAGTGAATACAGTAATAAAAATGAAACAGATTGACAAAGATCTTCAGCAATAAAAAAAAAAAGCTTCCACAAGTGATTTTATATCTGGGGTCAGACATGAAATAGTTGTAACGAGCTGCTGTTGTAGTGATCTGTTCCCTGTGCTCCTCGTGTCTCATTACGCCGCTTTTCAGCGCTGCTGTTGTCTTAGCAGGCCCTGAAGAACCTTATGTAAGGAGCAGAATGATGGTTCTGCAGTGTGTTAAAAAAGAGCATTTAACAGGGAAGTGCTAATGTTCTAGATTAGGGATTCTCATCCCTTGCTCTGCACTGGCTCATGTAATTGCATGAATCACTTTGATTGYGAAGCGCACGCTCTCCCGTCAGCTCGGAGGGATTGAAGTGGAATATGACAGAGCCTGCTCAGGAAACAGGGCTAGAAGRAGAAAAAACTGTGAACGTACCACAAAAAAAACGAACCATTCCTGGTTACTCATGAAATTTACTCCTTTGATTTGCGCACAGATTTTATTTAGGCTTCTGCGCAGACATGTGACTGCGTTGGCAACGTCCAGGGCAGCACAATTCCGGGTGATTCAGCGGGAATTGTGGATTTATGTGATGGGCAGGGACTCAATGCCTTTCTGTAATTTTCAGATATGTCTTTCAAAAAAATGTAGAGCTCCTGCCAAGAAGATACAGAATTGGTTTGGGCAGTTCGCTGSACTTTGGGGAAACATTCTTTCAGCCTTTTTTTTCCTTCCTGCTGATTGCTTTTGGTGGGGAACAGCTCTCCTCTGCACACCAAAATGGGCCAGGAGCTGTGAGCTGTGGGCAGGGGACCATCTGGTGGAGCCAGGGTCTCTCCCTGCACAGCTGAACCTACAGAGTGAGGTCATTTTTCATTAAAATGGGACTTACTGGCCCATGGAGGAAGGAGATGGGAAGGTTTCCATGGCCATACAAATCTACCAAACACAAGAACTGGAGAGGAGTTATTCAGGAGGGCATCGTTGTAGCTGTGCTCCTGTCACAGACAGGCAATTTATCCCATGCCTCGATGGGATCTGCTGAGAGCAAAAATGAGTCAGGTTTTGTAAGCTCATATTTAATAAATAAACCAGCCCACCTTTCCTCCCTGCCAGGGCCCTCATGGGTCCCTCTGGTCCCYTCCCATTCTGCCTCCCCCACTTCCCCAGACACCACACAACTCTCCTCTGTGTCCCTGCTCATGGAAACCAGTGGGAGCACTATGAATGCTGCTA